CGGTGTGTTTTGTGTGTTTCAGTCAGTGTGTAACGGTGTGTTTTGTGTGTTTCAGTGTGTAACGGTGTGTTTTGTGTGTTTCAGTGTGTAACGGTGTGTTTTGTGTGTTTCAGTGTGTAGTGTTTCAGTGCGTAACGGTGTGTTTTGTGTGTTTCAGTGTGTAGTGTTTCAGTGCGTAACGGTGTGTTTCAGTGTGTAACGGTGTGTTTTGTGTGTTTCGGTGTGTTTCAGTATGTAACGGTGTGTTTTGTGTGTTTCAGTGTGTAACGGTGTGTTTTGTGTGTTTCAGTCAGTGTGTAACGGTGTGTTTCAGTCAGTGTGTAACGGTGTGTTTTGTGTGTTTCAGTGTGTAACGGTGTGTTTCAGTGTGTAACGGTGTGTTTTGTGTGTTTCAGTGTGTAACGGTGTGTTTTGTGTGTTTCAGTGTGTAACGGTGTGTTTTGTGTGTTTCAGTGTGTAACGGTGTGTTTTGTGTGTTTCAGTGTGTAGTGTTTCAGTGTGTAACGGTGTGTTTTGTGTGTTTCAGTGTGTAGTGTTTCAGTGTGTAACGGTGTGTTTCAGTGTGTAACGGTGTGTTTTGTGTGTTTCAGTGTGTAACGGTGTGTTTTGTGTGTTTCAGTCAGTGTGTAACGGTGTGTTTCAGTCAGTGTGTAACGGTGTGTTTCAGTGTTTAACGGTGTGTTTTGTGTGTTTCGGTGTGTTTCAGTGTGTACAGTGTGTTTCAGTCAGTGTGTAACGGTGTGTTTTGTGTGTTTCGGTGTGTAACAGTGTGTTTCAGTCAGTGTGTAACGGTGTGTTTTGTGTGTTTCAGTGTGTAACGGTGTGTTTCAGTCAGTGTGTAATGGTGTGTTTTGTGTGTTTCGGTGTGTAACGGTGTGTTTCAGTCAGTGTGTAACGGTGTGTTTTGTGTGTTTCAGTCAGTGTGTAACGGTGTGTTTTGTGTGTTTCAGTGTGTAACGGTGTGTTTCAGTGTGTAACGGTGTGTTTCAGTCAGTGTGTAACGGTGTGTTTCAGTCAGTGTGTAACGGTGTGTTTTGTGTGTTTCAGTCAGTGTGTAACGGTGTGTTTTGTGTGTTTCGGTGTGTAACGGTGTGTTTCAGTCAGTGTGTAACGGTGTGTTTCAGTCAGTGTGTAACGGTGTGTTTTGTGTGTTTCAGTCAGTGTGTAACGGTGTGTTTTGTGTGTTTCAGTCAGTGTGTAACGGTGTGTTTCAGTCAGTGTGTAACGGTGTGTTTTGTGTGTTTCAGTCAGTGTGTAACGGTGTGTTTTGTGTGTTTCAGTGTGTAACCGTGTGTTTCAGTGTGTAACGGTGTGTTTTGTGTGTTTCGGTGTGTAACGGTGTGTTTTAGTCAGTGTGTAACGGTGTGTTTTGTGTGTTTCAGTCAGTGTGTAACGGTGTGTTTTGTGTGTTTCAGTCAGTGTGTAACGGTGTGTTTTGTGTGTTACAGTGTGTAATGGTTTGTTTTGTGATTTGTGTGTTTCAGTCAGTGTGTAACGGTGTGTTTTGTGTGTTTCAGTCAGTGTGTAACGGTGTGTTTCAGTCAGTGTGTAACGGTGTGTTTTGTGTGTTTCGGTGTGTTTCAGTGTGTATCGGTGTTTTGTGTGTTTCAGTCAGTGTGTAACGGTGTGTTTCAGTCAGTGTGTAACGGTGTGTTTTGTGTGTTTCAGTGTGTAACGGTGTGTTTTGTGTGTAACGGTGTGTTTTGTGTGTTTCAGTGTGTAACGGTGTGTTTCAGTGTGTAACGGTGTGTTTTGTGTGTAACGGTGTGTTTTGTGTGTAATGGTGTGTTTTGTGTGTAACGGTGTGTTTTGTGTGTTTCAGTGTGTAACGGTGTGTTTCAGTGTGTAACGGTGTGTTTTGTGTGTTTCAGTGTGTAACGGTGTGTTTTGTGTGTTTCAGTGTGTAACGGTGTGTTTTGTGTGTTTCAGTGTGTAACGGTGTGTTTCAGTGTGTAACGGTGTGTTTTGTGTGTTTCAGTGTGTAACGGTGTGTTTTGTGTTTAACGGTGTGTTTTGTGTGTAATGGTGTGTTTTGTGTGTAACGGTGTGTTTTGTGTGTAACGGTGTGTTTTGTGTGTTTCAGTGTGTAACGGTGTGTTTCAGTGTGTAACGGTGTGTTTTGTGTGTTTCAGTGTGTAACGGTGTGTTTCAGTGTGTAACGGTGTGTTTTGTGTGTAACAGTGTGTTTTGTGTGTAATAGTGTGTTTTGTGTGTAACGGTGTGTTTTGTGTGTAATGGTGTGTTTTGTGTGTAACGGTGTGTTTTGTGTGTAACGGTGTGTTTTGTGTGTAACGGTGTGTTTTGTGTGTAACGGTGTGTTTTGTGTGTTTCAGTGTGTAACGGTGTTTTTGTGTGTAACGGTGTGTTTTGTGTGTAATGGTGTGTTTTGTGTGTAACGGTGTGTTTTGTGTGTAACGGTGTGCTTTGTGTGTAACGGTGTGTTTTGTGTGTTTCAGTCAGACGTCAGGATACAGTCATCCTCCAAAAGAAGTGAGTTTGAGATGTTCACATCAGTGGAGATTCAGATCGATCCACTGACTGAAGATCCACATGAACTAACAGTGAACAATACTTCTACCGTATTTATTAATCTTTATGTTAATCTCAACACATTGTATCTGTTAACATTATTTTAATGCATTGTGAACTAACAATAGGCAGTATATTATTACAGCATTTATTAACCTTTGTTTTTAATGTAAACAAGTGAGACCTTATTGTAAAGTATATAAAAAAATATTGAATATTCTAAATTAAATATATATTTTCCCTCTAAAATGGCAAAACTGAAGCACTAAAAATAAAGCTCTTGAAAATTTTACAAAGTATCAGTTTCTCCTCGAATTAAATTTTCTTTTATGTATTGATCCATTCTCACACTCAGGACTTTTATAAATGCAAATCATTATAATTTCACAGGATGTCACTGATCCACTGTGGTGAATATTGAATAGAATTATTGGAAAGAAAATGGATTTTTATGAAACTGAATTCTGAATGATTTCTCTTCCTCCAGCCTCAGGATTTCAAACACACTCAGTCGTTCATGCTGTGATGGTGTGTGTGTTGGCGGCGCTGGGAACGACACGAAGACACTCCGTCTCTCTCTCTCTCTGTGTATCTTTATATCTCTCTCTTCCTCTGTATCTCTCTCTCACCATAATCTTCCGACAGACTGAAGGAAACAGAAGCTGATCTGAGAGCCGGTTTCATGTTTCTCCTCAAATGTAGAGCTAGAGCGCCTCCTGCTGGCCGTGTGCGACCCTGAACCCGATTAACCCGCGGCCTTTACACGAGCGAGACTCTGATGACCTTTGACACGCGTGCCTTTCATTTCAACACAATCTTTATCTAACGAGTGTGAGGATGTAAATCATGCGATGGGGTGAATTGTTGTATATTTGATCTGTATTCTTGTTTTTTTAATAAACATAATCTGCATTTTTTGTCTGAATTGGAACATCTATTATTTCGCAGACGCATTTATTAATTCATCGTGAGATGAGAAATGCTGACAGTTTCCAGATCATTCAGAGAGCAACCAAAGAAAGCAACAGATAATGTTTCATTAACACAAAATATCAATGAACTGCATTAATTAATGGTTATTTTACCACTTAATGTTTAAAAATCCAAAGTTGTGTTTACATTTGTTTAAATTATGATTAAAGAGTTCAATAAAAAATATTCGCACTCATGTTGTTCCAAACCCTTATGAAATAAATTCTATTTGTTATCTACATTAGTTAACATGAACTGACAATTAACAGTATTCTGCAGCATTTATTAACAGATTGTTTAACATTTTTTATTAAAAAGAATTAAAAGTTGTATTGTTTACATTTGGTGAGATTAGCATTAAAGTTTGTTCAACCCCAAATTAAATTTGTCATTAATTCACACTCATGTCGTTACAAACCCATATGAAGATCATTTTTAATACTCATCATTTTCCATCCAATTAACTCTTTCCCGGCTATTGTACCAGGAATCCGGAAAACAAAACCTGAAATAAAAATGAAGCTATATACTGTAGAAATAAAAGCACATAAAAAATAGTTTGTAGACACACATAATATATTATATAAACAGATGCAATAAATTGGCACTAACATTTTTATGTTTGACTCTTTTCTCAGTTTTCTGTGTAAAATGCAAGCAAGACTTCAAAACTAGGGCTGGGTACCGAGTTCGGTACTTTTTAGGTACCGACCGAATTGCCTCGATACTACCGAGTATCGAAACATGTCTTGTTTTTCGGTACCACATTTCGGTACCTAAGTGGTTAATCTCGTCAACGTCAGTGAAACAATAAGCATGCAGCATGATTGGCTGTGGCGGAAAAACACTAGTTTACGCGGCTGCCCAGAGACGCGGCTCGTCGCACGTGAGGCTGCAGTGTGTGTGTGTGTGTGTGTAGCGTGCGTCCCAACCCAGATAGATAGAAAATATGTGGAAATGATCCAAAGTGTACCTATGTCATGTGCCAGACTCGATGCCAGATGCACGCTATGCAATATTTTCGACAAGATCATTGCTGCCAAGACCGGGAACACGGTAAATCTAGGCACTGAAGCGCACAAAATACACTTGAGAGTAATGGTGTTCACATCGAACGCGAATAGAGCGTCAAATACGCGTCTATCGCGTCTAGTTCGACGCTTGAATCTTTAGCTCGAGTTCAAATTTTTCAACTTGCGCGGAAGACGTTCGCGGCAAACGCGTCGCCCAATTCGCGTCATTCGCAACGCCCGGCGCGAATGATGCGTCTATTCGCGTCTTTGCATTGACTATGTATGTAATCTACTCGCACAAATAATTAAATTCGCGTTCGGTGTGAACACACCATTAGTAAACACTTGTTCATTATTAAACAATTAAAATATCTCCTTGCTATTGTTTCCACATCCATAATCATTAGGCTACTTTTGCCAGGGCTTTGCTGCAAGCTTCACGTGCAGGTATATATCCCGCCCCCCAGTAGCCTATATTTAATTTAATTCACATTTATTTGTATAGCATTTTTCACAATACATATCGTTTCAAAGCAGCTTTACAGAAAATGCATGTCTAAATTACAATTTAGATTGATCTGTTATCAGAGGTGACAGTGTAATGCATTTCAATTAATTTTCATTCAGTTTCATCGTTAATTAATGCATTAAGTTAAAGCAGAAACAATGAGCTCATTGAAGTAAAGAATACATGTTGTTAAATGATTAGGAAACATAGAAAACTTTAGCATTGGTGCTTTTTTACATACTCAAAATATGAGTGTAAAAAAGTCAACAAACTGAAAAAAAAATTAGGTAATGTTATATTGTTAAACCTGGTTACATAAAATTGGTATCGAAAAAAGTATCGTCCAGGAACCGGTATCGAAGTCAAGGTATCGGTATCGGTATCGGTACCGAACATTTTGTTACGATACCCAGCCCTATTCAAAACAATCATATTTAATATTCTGATGGACTTCAGAGGCATTCTGGGTGAAATAGTGTTATTGTTAAATAAGGTTATTTTAGTTTCATTGATAATTTATTTTAGTACTAAAAATTAAACTAAACAAATATGAGATGAAGCCTCAGCAACTAGCTGAAATAAAACACCTTTAAAAAAATTATCTATTTTTTTTTAAGTTAATTTGTTTGGATCAATGAAAAAAAAAATATATATATTTTTTTTAATAGTTTTTTTTGGTAAAAAAGTTCATAATCCAGATGTTAACTAAAACTAGTAAACATTGTTTTCAGGGAATGAAATAAAGTTAAATTACAAAATATAATTTTTTTATTTAGTTTTAGATCAACTTAATTTTTTTAAATTAAATTACTAAAACTGAAATAAAAATGTAGCTATATAGAAATAGTTAATGAAAGCAAATAAAAGTTTGTACACACACACACACACACACACACACACACACATTATATAAACAGATGCAATTCATTGATTTGACGGCACTAAAATCAGTAAATACACCTCAACCTTTTTCTCTTTTAGTTTATGTTTTGAATGTGTATGTTTGACTCTTTTCTGTGTAAAATCTACATTTTGTGTGAAAAAGAAAATGCAAACAAGACTTAAACATGTTAACGATAATAATCCTGTTGTTTTCAGGGAATGAAATACAATTGAAATATATTAGTAAATTATAAAATAATTTTTATTTAATTCGTTTTAGATAAACTTTTTTTTTTACTAAACCTGAAATTAAAGTATTTCTATATAACAGAGATATATTATTATAAAAGATGTGATTTGACGGCCCAAAATCAGTAAATACTGTTTTCTCTTTTAGTTCAGGTTTTGAATGTTCACGTTTGACACTTTTCTCAGTTTACTGTGTAAAATTGACCTTTTTGTGGAAAAAAGAAAACGCAAGCAAGACTTAAAAACAGTCCTGTTTAATATCCAGAGGCATTCTGGGAGACAGCATGTGGCGAGTCTCGGCTTAACCGTCGCTAGTGAACGCATGCTAGCTCTGAAACCGAAGCGGCGAGAGTCTGACACACTCGACACACACTCGACACACACTCGACACACACTCGACACACACTCGACACACACTCGACCATCACATCAGTCCCTGAGGATGAAGAACTGGTGTGTTGTTGAGCTTTGCAGACTTCATGGAAACACCAACGCTCAGTCGCGGGACATCTGGTGTGTTTACAGTCTTCATCCGCTCTTCAGGACCCAGCGTCAGCTTTACTGAAGCGTAGAATAGAAAGCCTCTCTCGCCCGGCCTGACGGGTCAAACACACGTGTCCGTTCAGCCCAGCTTTACCCAGCAGAGACACAATCTCCTCTAGAGGACACACAACACACTTCAGATCAACACTGGTACACTGCAGTGCTTCTAGCGGCATCTAGTGGCGAGGTTGTGAACTGCACCCAACGGTTACAGCGGCCGACAGGAAGTGATGTCATAGCAGAGAGTCCCAGTTAAACAATGAGGTTTCTTTACAAGGATAAATTAAGAAATTATGTTTACTTAATTTTTCAGTAAAACGATATGTTATTGTGTCTTTACAAAAACATCTCCTTTAAAGTTGTGCATTTATGTTGGTGATTTACTGCATCCACTCACAAAAATACATGTTTGATATATTTACGGTAAGACATGTACAAAAATATCTTCATGGATCATGATCTTTACTTAATATCCTAATGATTTTTGGCATAAAAGACAAATGGATAATTTTGACCCATACTTGTCTATCGCCACACACACCCGTGCGACTCGAGACTGGTTTAGTGATCCAGGGACACACACTTACAGGTGAAACTCGAAACATTAGAATATGGTGCAAAAGTTCATTTATTTCAGTAATTCAACCTAAAATGTGAAACTAATATATTATATAGACTCGTTACATGCAGAGTGAGATATTTCAAGCCTTTATTTGTAATAATTGTGATGATTATGGCTTACAGATATGAAAACCCCAAATTCAAAATTAGAATATTGTGAAAAGGTTTTCATATCTGTAAGTCATAATCATCACAATAATTACAAATAAAGGCTTGAAATATCTCACTTTGCACACACACACACACACACACACACCTGGATCATTATCTGCCACGGTCACCAGGTAGAACAGCCCATGGTCTGACAGCAACTGTGGGATCATGGGAAAGAATCGGTCCATCACTTCCCTGCCGCGTCTCCCACCGGCCCACGACGCCTCGATCCCACGACCGCCCACCTGTGCAGAACACACACACACACACACACACACACACACACGATGTCAGCATTACAGTCATACAGACATATAAGAGGTCTATGTACCTTTAAAACATCCTCATTAAAAACAAAGCACAAGCGCTAAAAACAGCTCATTTTGATATAGCGGATCTGTGATGTCACATGGGCAAGTTCATTTGCATATGCCCGCCTCCAGAGCAAGACATCTGCGAATAGTTTTACATCATCGCATCATAGGCCCCGCCCACTGGCGTTCAGTCTCTTAAAGTCCCCCTGTGGTGTAAATCCAGCGTTTAATGTTGTTTATGTGTCTATGTGGAGTTTTTAATACGCTTAAACCATGTGTAAGTTCATAAGTCGACAGCATTGCTGAGTATTTCCTGCTTAAAACTGCAGTGAACTAGCCTGGCATGCCAGACCTACATCAAGATGTTAGGTCTGGGAACTCTCCATTGACATGACTCAATCCGAGGGGCGGGATAAACGGTTACCTTTCAAAATCCCTCGGCACGCAATAGGATAACGCTGCAACCAACCAGAGCAACGAACGGTTGTGGATGAGTGAGTCCCATGCGTTTTTCCACCAGCGGAGCTAATTGATATATTAAACTTTGCCGTATCAGGTCGGCAAAACTCCGAACACATCTTCCTTTTTTAAGAATGACTTAAGTGACGTTCTCTTAACTCCAAGTCCTCCAGAGTCGCGGCCAAAGCCGATTCGAAAGACCGCTGCATCTTCATTGTTTTTAAGTAGCAGGGAAATCACCAATGGAAATCACGCGGAACGTCATGAACTGTGCCGTCATTGTGCTAAGCCCGCCCGCCGACTCTATACACGATGTGATTGGCCTGACCAGAAATTGGTTTTTCCAGCTAAAACGTCTATGGAGAGTTGCTAGACCACACTGCGAAATAATTTTCGCTGCCGCTAGGGTGCGTCTAGATTTCTAGGCTAGCAGTGAACCAAAGACAGTCTCAAAAACACGGTTTGAAATCGCTGGTGTTTCTGACGTCACAAACGACCTTGTAACCAATCAGATCAACGTGTGATCGTCAACCAGTGGATCTCTGAGCTGAGGGAGTGAGTGGAGGCGGGGCTCATTTGCATATTCACAGAACCACGCATACTAAATGAGGCGAGGGTGTCGAGCTACATTCAAGATATTTTAAGACATATAAGGAATTTTCTTTTTTTAAATGTCATTTTGGTGATCAAAGATGAGTTTTAAGGGATATAATGATTGACTACAGGCGGACTTTAATGTTTTTAGATTTTAACTTTGGGAATGTTTTCTCCATCAAAAACTAGTTGTAAGTGTATAAAGATATCTGACAGTAATCCTACGATTACATCAAAACAGCGCAATCTGATCACATGACTTCACACTGGTTTACCTCTTCTGACGGTGTGACGACATACGGCGGATTGAAAACAAGCACGTCCACTTTTCCCAGCAGCCTCGGCAAGAGACACTCGACCTGTGGGACACGACAGAACTCCTGAAACACCGGAACACACACGATAAACAGGACAGAAATAAAGCTTTAACATCAGCATCTGCGCACACAAGGTCAATTCTCAACGTTGAATGCAAACACAGCTAATGAAGCAGATTGTCCATCAGCTCTGAATACTGGATTTTTTATTTTATTATTTTTTATTGCGTTTTCCCCTCGCTGCATTGAGTTAATGACTAAATACAGGGATTTTTACATTTAAGTCAGCATCGAGTCTATATTTCAGAGATGCTTTGTTGTGCCATTATGATGCCATATTCCAATATTGCGCACGAGTTACACTCCTGTATCTCACCAGGTCGGTGACGACGGGCTGCAGCCGGAGCTTGTTGAGGCGAGACGTCTGGAGTGTGTAGAGAGCAGCCGCCGGGTTCACATCAGTGCAACTGCACAACACAACACACACACAACACACACACACACACACACACACAACACACACACAACACAGCTTTATACAGTACACATCGTTTCAAAGCAGGGAAATAACAGAATCAATGATCAGCTTGAGTCAGTTCAGTGACTTTTAGTTTTGCAACCCACTGATTTCTGTACTCGCAAACACACACACACACACACACACACACTCTCACTCGCTCACTCACTCTCTCTATCTCTCACTCACTCGCTCACACACTCTCTCTATCTCTCACACACTCTATCTCTCACTCACTCACTCACACACTCACACACTCTCTCTATCTCTCACTCACTCACTCACACACTCACACACTCTCTCTATCTCTCACTCACTCACTCACACACTCACACACTCTCTCTATCTCTCACTCTCTCACTCACTCACACACTCTCTCTATCTCTCACTCACTCACTCACACACTCTCTCTATCTCTCACACACTCTCTCTATCTCTCACTCACTCACTCACACACTCTCTCTATCTCTCACACACTCTCTCTATCTCTCACTCACTCACTCACACACTCTCTCTATCTCTCACTCACTCACTCACTCACACACTCTCTCTATCTCTCACACACTCTCTCTATCTCTCACTCACTCACTCACACACTCACACACTCTCTCTATCTCTCACTCACTCACTCACACACTCTCTCTATCACTCACACACTCTCTCTATCTCTCACTCACTCACTCACACACTCTCTCTATCTCTCACTCACTCACTCACACACTCTCTCATCTCTCACACACTCTCTCTATCTCTCACTCACTCACTCACTCACACACTCTCTCTATCTCTCACTCACTCGCTCACACACTCACACACTCTCTCTATCTCTCACTCTCTCACTCACTCACACACTCTCTCTATCTCTCACTCACTCACTCACACACTCTCTCTATCTCTCACACACTCTCTCTATCTCTCACTCACTCACTCACACACTCTCTCTATCTCTCACACACTCTCTCTATCTCTCACTCACTCACTCACACACTCTCTCTATCTCTCACTCACTCACTCACTCACACACTCTCTCTATCTCTCACACACTCTCTCTATCTCTCACTCACTCACTCACACACTCTCTCTATCTCTCACTCACACACTCACACACTCTCTCTATCTCTCACTCACACACTCACACACTCTCTCTATCTCTCACTCACACACTCACACACTCTCTCTATCTCTCACTCACTCACTCACACACTCTCTCTATCACTCACACACTCTCTCTATCTCTCACTCACTCACTCACTCACACACTCTCTCTATCTCTCACACACTCTCTCTATCTCTCACTCACTCACTCACACACTCTCTCTATCTCTCACTCACACACTCACACACTCTCTCTATCTCTCACTCACACACTCACACACTCTCTCTATCTCTCACTCACACACTCACACACTCTCTCTATCTCTCACTCACTCACTCACACACTCTCTCTATCACTCACACACTCTCTCTATCTCTCACTCACTCACTCACACACTCTCTCTATCTCTCACTCACTCACTCACACACTCTCTCTATCTCTCACACACTCTCTCTATCTCTCACTCACTCACTCACTCACACACTCTCTCTATCTCTCACTCACTCGCTCACTCACTCACACACTCTCTCTATCTCTCACTCACTCACTCGCTCACTCACTCACACACTCTCTCTATCTCTCACTCACACACTCTCTCTATCTCTCACTCACTCACTCACACACTCTCTCTATCTCTCACTCACTCACACACTCTCTCTATCTCTCACTCTCTCACTCTCACTCACTCGCTCACTCACTCACACACTCTCTCTATCTCTCACTCACTCACTCTATCTCTCACTCACACACTCTCTCTATCTCTCACTCACACACTCTCTCTATCTCTCACTCACTCACTCACACACTCTCTCTATCTCACACACTCTCTCTATCTCTCACTCACTCACTCACTCACACACTCTATCTCTCACTCACTCGCTCACTCACTCACACACTCTCTCTATCGCTCACTCACTCACACACTCTCTCTATCTCTCACTCACACACTCTCTCTATCTCTCACTCACTCACTCACACACTCTCTCTATCTCTCACTCACTCACACACTCTCTCTATCTCTCACTCACTCACTCACTCACACACTCTCTCTATCTCTCACACACTCTCTCTATCTCTCACTCACTCACTCACACACTCACACACTCACACACTCTCTCTATCTCTCACTCACTCACTCACTCACACACTCTCTCTATCACTCACACTCTCTCTATCTCTCACTCACTCACTCACTCACTCACTCACACACTCACACACTCTCTCTGTCTCTCACTCACTCACACACTCTCTCTATCTCTCACTCACTCGCTCACTCACTCACACACTCTCTCTATCTTTCACTCATTCGCTCACTCACTCACACACTCTCTCTATCTCTCACTCACTCGCTCACTCACTCACACACTCTCTCTATCTCTCTCACTCACACACTCTCTCTATCTCTCACTCACTCACTCACTCACTCACTCACTCACTCACTCACTCACTCACTCACTCACTCACACACTCACTCACACACTCACTCACACACTCACTCACACACTCACTCACACACTCACACACTCACACACTCACACACTCACACACTCACTCACACACTCACTCACTCACTCACTCACACACTCACTCACACACTCACACACTCACACACTCACTCTCTCTGTCTCTCACTCACTCGCTCGCTCACTCACACACTCTCTCTATCTCTCACTCACACACTCTCTCTGTCTCTCACTCACACACTCTCTCTATCTCTCACTCACACACTCTCTCTGTCTCTCACTCACACACTCTCTCTGTCTCTCACTCACACACTCTCTCTATCTCTCACTCACACACTCTCTCTGTCTCTCACTCACACACTCTCTCTATCTCTCACTCACTCACACACTCTCTCTGTCTCTCACTCACTCGCTCGCTCACTCACACAGACGGAAAGTGGCTTATTTCTGCAACCCGTGACGTGTGTTCTCCTTCACTCACAGATACAGCGCATCAGAGCCGATCACAGACGCCAGGAAGGCCGATACGACGCCGGATCCGCTGCCCACCTCCACACACACACACGCTCTGACAACACACACACATCAGAAGATCAGACCGGCTGACTGCACACTGACCCGTCAAAAGCGTGCGCTTGTGGATTTGTGATTTGCAGTACAGTAGAGTTTTTCTCTCTCAAATATTACAAATAATATTACAATTAATTTTACAATTAACTCACACACTCTCTCTATCTCTCACTCACTCGCTCACTTAAAACTGCCATTATCAAACCTCTTCTGAAGAAACCCAACCTCGACCCAGAATGTCTCGCCAATTATCGGCCAATTTCTCATCTTCCATTTTTGTCCAAGGTGCTAGAAAAAGCTGTTTCTGTGCAGTTACAGGAACATCTACAATGTCACTCATTGTTTGAAACATTTCAATCTGGTTTTCGTACTGCCCATAGTTCAGAGACAGCACAATTGAGGGTAACTAATGACCTTCTTATTTCTGCAGATTCTGGATCCCCCTCTTTGCTCATTCTCCTTGACCTTTCAGCGGCTTTTGATACTGTAGATCACCATATCCTCCTAAGTCGTCTCCACTCTGACATTGGTCTCCGTCATTCCACACTGGACTGGTTTACCTCTTACCTCGCTGACAGGACAGAGCAGGTTCGCTTGGGATCTGCTAGGTCCAGAACAGCCCCGGTCACTTGTGGTGTCCCCCAAGGATCTATTCTAGGTCCTTTGCTTTTCATTCTATACATGCTGCCATTGGGTCGTGTCATCAGTAAATACGGTATCTCTTTTCACTGTTATGCTGATGACACTCAGTTATACCTGCGAACTGACTCAAACCTATGCTCTACTCCGGACCTTTCATCATTATCTGCTCACCCTTCATCTTCTGCTTCACCTACATCTCTAGCCCTCTCTAACTGCCTGGAGGAGATTAAGGCATGGATGAGTCAAAATTTTCTCCAGTTAAACAGCTCAAAAACCGAAGCCATACTAATCGGCACCCCTCATCAGGTAAAGTCATCACCTATTACTACTATCTCTTTCTCTGGTCAAGACATCTCCTTCTCAGCTATTGTTACCAACCTCGGCGTAAAGCTTGACCCACAACTGACCTTTGCCAATCATGTCAAACATCTGTATAAAACCTGTTTTTTTCATATCAAAAACATCTCAAAACTCCGCCCCTTTCTCACTTTCTCTGATGCAGAGAAACTCGTCCATGCCTTAATTTCCTCCAGGCTTGATTACTGTAACAGCTTACTTATTGGTGTATCAAGCAAACACCTTCAAAAACTTCAATTTATTCAGAACTGTGCTGCCCGAACTCTGATGAAGGCACGCAAATATGAACACATTACTCCCATTCTTCAGAAACTTCACTGGCTCCCCATAACTTCAAGAATTCAATACAAAATCGCCCTCATTACCCATCTTTGCATCCATAACAATGCCCCTCAATACCTCAAAGATCTCCTTACCCTTCAATCTTCCACCCGTAACCTCCGGTCCCTAACTGCAAACCTTCTCCATCAGCCACGCTCAAGACTATGTACTATGGGAGACCGAGCTTTCTGCTGTGCTGCCCCTCGCATTTGGAACTCCCTCCCTGAACATCTGCGAAAACCCCAGTCAGTGGACAATTTAAAAAAAGAGCTAAAAACTATTTTGTTCAGGCAGGCTTTCCTAAGTGGTCCTTAGGCTTTGTTATTTTTCCTTTCTTTTTATGTATTTTATTGGTTACTGATTTTAGATTGTTTGATTGTGGTTGTTATTGTATGTGGTCTGTAGCACTTTGAGATTCTTTTATGAAAAGTGCTTTATAAATAAAATTTATTATTATTATTATTATTATTATTTTTTTTTATTACACACATACAAACCACACTTGATAATTCCATGTTGTTTTGGTTGGTTTTAATTATAATAATAATAATAATACAAGAGTCCTAAACCCCATATAGCGGACAAAAACGTGACAGACTTGAGCCCGTGTTTTCAGTGACCCCAAACGCGAATGTGTGTTTTTAATAGCAGATCACATGCGAGGACGCGCGTTTTGATGCAACACACACACATTTGACGGGTCAGTGTGCAATCAGACGCCCAACCAGCCGTTTATGAACACATTTTATCTGAATTAAATTACCATATTGGGCAACACTTTACTTGAAGGGGTGCTCATAAGACTGACATTACACCTTCATAATCATGACATGACACACGTCATGAATATGAAGGAGGGTTTATGAATGTTTATGACAACTGTCGTTAAGTGTCATTCGCTCAATTATGACATTTTGAATGCAAATATGACATTGTTTGAGATGTCTTTGTTATGACAACTTGACATAAACCAATACATCATAATCTGTCATAAACATGACATAGCAGATTAATTATCAAACTTAAGAAAGCACTTAGCTTTATGGGTTAACATTACATTAAACTGTCATGTGGTTGGTTTTGACATTGGCTGTCATGAGGGCATTATAACTGTCATGAATATTTTTCTTGACCTCGACTACAGTGGTACACATTGAATTTGTCATTAAAATGTTATAATGCCCTCATGACAGCCAATGTCAAAACCAACCACATGACAGTTTAATGTAATGTTAACCCATAAAGCTAAGTGCTTTCTTAAGTTTGATAATTAATCTGCTATGTCATGTTTATAACATATTTATGACAATTTATGTTGTCAAGTTGTCATGACAAAGACATTTCAAACAATGTCATATTTGCATTAAAAATGTCATAATTGAGCGAATGACACTTAATGACAGTTGTCATAAACATGCATAAACCCTCCTTCATATTTATGACATGTGTCCCGGTGTAATGTCAGTCTTATGCACACCCCTTCAAGTAAAGTGTTACCCTACATTGTTAAAATTAATACTTTTTTAGCTAACTGTGATTACATGTGCATTTCTGAAATGCATAACTCAGACAGTCTCCTCTGATGACAGATCACTGTAAACTGTAATGTGGACTTGTGCACTTCTGTAAAGCTGCTTTGGAATGATGTGTTGTGAAAAGCGCTGTACAAATAAACGTGAATTGAGGATTGGCTCGAGTAAATCACCGGCTTCCCTTCAGCCGATCGGCGTCGCTCTCCAGCGCGTCCATCAGGAGGAAGGAGTCCTCGGCCGGCTCGTACACGTCTGGGAACGAGGAGCCGGGAGCGAACAGGGGCGTCGGGAACATCGCCGTCTGAACGGGAATCAACAAGAGTTATTAACACTCATCCTTCCCTCGGGTCATTTTGACCCGAAAAAATAAATAAAATTGAGTGTTCATCAGAGGGGTCCAAGACCCTAGGACTTTTGTCGCACTTGAACCACAAATACACAAAAAATTAAAAAAAAAATTTGTGGTTGAAATAAAACAACAACAACAAATCCTTCCCTCGCAGGTTTTATGAATGAATGGATTGCTTCTGTACACATAGAAAACACTAAAAATGCTCAGAATTCAAACCAAAAATGCGAAAATTTTACAAAAAAAATATTTTGTAATGTCTACATTCATTTTGACCTGAAACTCATTTTTTTGTTCATCAGAGGGGTCCAAGACCCAGGACTTTTGTCGCACTTGAACCACAAATACAAAAAAAATAAAATAAAAATGTTTTATGGATTCAAGGTGTTTTGTGGTTGAAATAAAACAACAACAACAAATCCTTCCCTCACAGGTCTTAGGAATGAATGGATTGCTTCTGTACACATAGAAAAAAACTAAAAATGCTCAGAATTCAAACCAAAAATTTTACAAAAAAATTATTTTATAATGTCTACATTCATTTTGACCTGAAACTCATTTTTTTGTTCATCGGAGGGGTCCAAGACCCCAGGACTTTTGTCGCACTTGAACCACAAATACACACACAAACATTGAATGGATGCGAGGAGTTGAAATTAAAAAAAAGTAATCAAATTTGACCCCTTTAGGAATGAGTGGAATGTGAGGAATGCTTCAGTACACATAGAAAAATAAAAAAATGCTCAACATTCAAACTAAAAATGCTAAAACTTTACCAATAAAGACTGTATAATGTGTAGATGTGTGTGTGAGCGCACACTGAAGAGCAACTGTCTTTAGGACCCAGCGGAACAGCTCCTCTGCTCCATATAGAGCTATAAGCCCATCTAGAGGCATGAAATATCATGTGTTATTATTATATTCCACAAGAGGTCAAAGACTCCCAGTGTAAGATATTTAGAGCTGAATTAAAAGGTTTATGCATGGAATTGTGAGTTATTTTGAATTTAAGTAGAAAGAATGTGAAGAATGTGCTTAAATTACTATTTATTTATTTATTGATCAAGTCTAGTAATTTAAAGGTAAATATTAATAAAATAAAAAATAACCCAAAAAAATTGCATTAAAAAATATTCGATGTTCTATAAAATAAGCTTCCGAAAAAATAAATAAATAAATGAAGTATAGTTTTAGCGCTTCGGGTCATTTTGACCCACGAGGGAAAGATGTGTTATTAAGTGCGAGGGAAGGATGAAGATTGCATGATAGTGGCGTTACACTGGTCTTCTCCTCTATTGTGTCGTATATCGAGTGAAACGCTTCTGGAACAAGAACACATGTGGGCGGGGCTTGATTGTGTCTGTGGGGAATTGATTGGATGGTTGTGGTTTGCTATTGGCTGAGCTCATGTGAGTGACAGGTTAAAGCCCCGCCCTCGTCATCAGAGAAGAGAAGAACTGATTCTGATTCAAGATTACCAGAAATTTAACACAATAATG